AGCAGGTTTAGGTCTGTCGAATGGTTTAAGGACAATACAGGGAAACCGCCCCAGTTCCTTGAAAGATCCTGTTTATAGGGGAGAGTTTTATATAAACATACCTAGAAAGCATGCCTGTGAATCAGATGAATCTACAATCACAAGCATTCTTACTTTGTAATCAATGCAAAGAATTTAGCAACTTTTGTTTTTACAGAAAGTGTGGAATCTTATCAGAGCCATTTCAAGGATTCATTCTTACTATTAGTGAAGGCTAACATCTTTATAAGGTGACCATATGACTTATCATTCAAGTGGGGCACTTTTGAAAATGAAAGGAGAGGCTATTAATAATTGCTCTGGGCCAACAGGTATTAACCAGAAAATGACTAATGGTCATATGTATGTACATACGTAACTATACAGTAAGAATAAAGTGGCGATTAAAGATGGTAAATTTTAGGACATGTTTTTAACACAATGAACACATATAAATTGACAAGTAGTCCTTACTATCAGATAAAAATCTGTATGTTCCCCCTAAAGTAATTTTTTGGAGTCTTAAAAAGTCAGCATCCAAATTCAAAGGAATGTTTTCTTTTAGGTTGGGCCTTTATCAAGTACCACAGAAAGCCCTGTAAAATTTGAGCTCCTGAAAGTCAGACATGCAAGTTAAGAGGATTCATGTTGCTATTCCTATTCTGGTGAACATATACATCCAGAATCAATTTTTTAAAATCTAAAATCTCACTAAGAAATGACATGTTAGAAATAACACATGATATCTTCTGATCTTGGGAAAGTCACTTATACTTAATTCTTAGAGCTATGACAGAATACTTGGATCTTATTTTTCAATATACACTATAAGAGAAATCTCTTAGTGGAGATTGGTGTCTAGGGAACTCCTAAAGTAAGACATGATAACTAATTTATCAAGTGATCCTAAAATCTAGTTTAGTCCATTTCACGGACATGAAATAATTTCTTCCATGTTAGGCGTTGGAAGCCATTATAGGAAATCACAGCGACATCAAAGAGCTCCACGAATCTTAACAGCACCACCAGGGGGTACTAACAGGCCAAAAAGGAGCAAAGTTGTTCTCTGACCCAGGATGGATGAGCCCCGATTACATACCAGCCTTATGTCTTCTATGGACAGATCCCAATCTTCCCATCCACTCCATTTGTTTCCCTACCTATGGACTTGTGCCAAATGGCATATTATGGATTTTGTCATTTTTTCCCCCTGAATATCGGCCATCCTTCCTGGTCACCAACCCTCCCATTTCCAGTCCCTGTCTCATCTACACCTCCCCTGTCCTTGGCTTGCAGACATCTGCCAACTCCATACCCTTTCTATTTTCACATACTTCCAACTCGAATCTCCTCATACCATTTACCTCTTCCAGCATGAACACTGCTGTTTTAAATTAATTATCTCCAAATAAAAACATATTGTCTAAGGCCTATATTATAGGGATAGGGATAGGAATTGCAATTTAAGGTTGCTTCAATTTCATTAAGCCCTGAAAGGTGATTCTGTTCTATCATCCAACTTAAAAAAAAAAAAAAAAAAAAAAAAAAGACCTTCAGAAGAAAGTTTAAATAAAGCGTGAGGACTAATGTCTGCTCATTTTTCATCAATCCCTATAAATCCATTTCTGCCCTAGTGGTCAAAGTTGTATTTTGTTTTATCTTTTCCTTATTCTGTACTCCACATCCATGCATACCTACTTTGATAGCATTTCCATATATTTGCCCTGAAATATTTTTTTCTAGGCCAAAGTCAAATCCTTTCTTCCTTCAATCCCATTGACTAAACTACTTGAGCAGCTTTAATTAGAAATTCACATACCATACCATTTACCCACATAAACTATACAGTTTGATGGTTTTTAGTATATTCAGATTTGTATAACCATCATTACAACCAATTGTAGCACATTTTCACAACCCTGACATGAAAACCTGTACCCAACCACAGTCACTCTTCATTCCACACCCCCTTTACCTCCACCCCGGGCCTAGGAAACAAATAATCTGTTCTCTGTCTCTAAAGATTTGGTCAGGCTGATATTTCATTTAAGTAGAATTGTAAAATATACGCTCCTTTGTGACTGGTTTCTTTCGGGTAACAATAATTTCCAAGTTCATCCATGTTGTAGCACATAAGACAATTCCATTCTTCTTCATTGCTGAATAATTTTATATTGAATGGATATATCAAGTTTAATTTACCCAGTCACAAGGTGATGGGCATTTGGGATGCTCCCATGTTTTGGCTCTTATGAATAACATTGCTATGAAGGTTTGTGTATAGGTTTTCGTATGGACATATGTTTTCATTTCTCTTAAGTACTGTTATGGGTTGAACTGTATCCCTCCAAAAAGATATCTCGAAGTCCTATCCTGAGAATGTGACCTGCTTTGGAAACAGGGCTTTTATATAGAGGTAATCAAGATGAGGCCTTTGGCTCTACTCAAATATTATTTGTGTTCCTAAAAAAAAGGGGGGGGGGAATTAGGAGAAGGAAGAGAGAGACAGAGGAAAAACACCAAGTAAAGTCTGAGGGCCACACTGATGCATCTACCAACCAGGGAACACCAAAGATTTCCAACAAACACAAGAAACTAGAAGAGGCAACAAAGGATTCTCACCTTGAGCTTTTGAAGAGAATAGGACCCTGCCAACACTTTAATTTAGGACTTCCAGCCCCCCAGAACTGTGAGAAAATTAGTATATATTGTTTTAAGCCATACAGTGATTGGTACTTTGTCACAGTAACACTATGAAATGAATACAGGTAAATATTGGTGGGTCATATGGTAATTGTGTGTTTAATCTATTGAGAAGCTGCCAGATTGTTTTCCATACCAGCTATACAAATGATTGTTTTTCAGTAAATTATTAGTGGTTTTAAAACCTCCTTCAAATGCAGAAAGTAAGATTTCTATGGGTAACATTGCCCTCCGCAGGTAGTTCTCCCTCTACCCCCACCATGGTGTAGTCTTCTTCACCACCATTTGTAAACCTTCCTATTCCCTTCAAAAAAAGGAACAGAAACAAATAGTGAACTCATCGATGTACTCAGAGAAGGCGGTATCAAAGATGAGTTGTGGCTGGGGATGCATAATAATCTTAAAGATCTAAACCTGAAGATAGCTGAAGAATAAATGGTATTAAACAGCAAGAAAATGTTTCTGAAGAGAAGATTTCCTAGCTCAGACAAGGAAGAAAAGAGGATCTTGAAGGAGATGATGACATTTTTTTTAGGGAAGGGAGCTTGGCCACAAAGAGATCTAAGTCTCGTCTCTGGAAAAAAGCAACTGGCATCGTGGGACAGAATATATCTCTTGGCAGAAACTTCAAAATTCTGAATTTCAGTTCATTATTGTCCTAAGAGAAGGCTCAACTCTTCTACAAACAATGAAATACTATAGTCCAATAATGAATTTATCATTTAAGCAAATACCTAACTTTTCTGAAAGGAGAAGAACAGAGGGACGCCTGGGGGCTCAGTGGTTGAGCGTCTGCCTTTGGCTCAGTGGCGACCCCGGGGTCCTGGATTGAGTCCCCCATTGTGCTCCCCTTGGGGAGCCTGCTTCTCCCTCTGCCTGTGTCTCGGCCTCTCTCTCTCTGTGTCTCAGTAATAAATAAATAAAATTAAAAAAAAGAAGAATAGAACCCTTTATATAGTTGAGTAAATAAGATATATTCACACACATACACAAACAGATTGAGTGCTATGTCTAGCCAATAATGTTTTTAATAGCCAATAAAGCCTGTAGAGTTTAGATCTCTGCACGAATAATGGATACAGGTATACAGTAATGATTTGGCTCCTGGCCATGTTATAAAAATCAAGGGTAAAAACACATGCTAGAAAGCTTACAATAAAATCTCACAAAGATCACTTTGTCTTGTTACTAATAACCTGTTTTCACTTATTTCATATACAATGTCAACCTTCCCATTTTTCACAGCCTCTTAGAGAAAAATAAAGCAGAATAGGAAGGGAATGTTGGAGAAATGTGTTCTAATATCATCAGCTAACTATGATAGTGCTAACACACAGGAAAATAGTCGACAGAGCAGATCACTCGGAAAGCACAACTACCTGGGATTACTTAGTGAAGGGAGAAAGGGAAAGAGAGACCCCCTAGAGGTACCACAGAGCCATCACTGATGCCCAAACTGGTCAGCCTGAGTCCTCAAGAGTTCATTTAGCTCACATTACTTAAGAGGGGGATAACAGTATTGTACATTTCAGAATATGCTTAGAATACAAAATCAAGTAGTTAAAATTAAATTGAGGCAACCAATTATCTCCAGTAAGCCGACTTTTCATTTTCTGTCCCCCTAACTTTCTCCCAATCAACGACTAAGCCTAGTCTGGAAAGAGAGGACTAGAACAAAGGAATTGTTCAAGAAAGCCCGGTCTGGAACACAAGAATAACCATTTAAAGTTGGAAGAACATGGGCAAAACCCAAAGTCCAGATAATTTTTTATTTATATGGAAAGACTCAAATAAATTGACTTTGCATACCATTTCTATAAAAGTTTATACCTTTCCTAGCCTCCCTTTATTACAACAAAAAAACACATAATCCTTTAGATCAAGGGTTCTCAAGGTGGACAACCCCAAAGAGCAATATAGGCATTACCAGAAAACACCACAGAAATGCAAATTCTCCAGCCACATCCCAGGCCTGTGAATTCAGAAATTCCAAGGGTGGGGTCAGCAATCTATATTAAACCATATCCCCCCACCCCCCAGGAATTCTGACATTTGCTAAAGTTTTCGAATCACTGCTTTATATAATATGAATGTAAAAGGCACAGGGTTTTTGATTTATAGAACAAAGTGAATCTTAAAAGACCGAAGCAGCAAAAGGGAATAGGAAAGTCTATCATGTAAATTATGCATTGTTAGCTCAGAAACCATGTTCTTTCTAGATTAGGCCCAAGTATAACACTTAGTAACCTCTAGAGTAAATAGCAGCATAAAGATGGTACCTTCCAGATGCTTCAGGAGAGCCCTACTGCTATTTCCATGAGCAGATATCAGAATGGTTTTGCCACTTAATACTTCGGGAGCAATCCTTTCATTCCAAAAGGGAAGGAGTCTCTCCAGAACATCCTTTAAGCTTTCAGATCGTGGCAGCTGATCCACAGGTATATCACACACCTTATACCTCCGGTCGTTATAGATTTCATGGTAATAAGGGTGAGATTCCTCAATGGGTGGTGGGGTCACATTGTAGCTTCTTCTCCAGAGCCTCACTTGTTCTTCACCATGATTCAAAGCCATTTGCTCCCTGTTGAGACCGATCAAAGCTCCATAGTGACGTTCATTTAGACGCCAAGAGCTTTCCACCGGAACCCACTCCTGCCCCAGCTCTTCCAGGATCAGCCAGGCTGTGTGGATGGACCGATTGAGGATGGATGTGAATACAAGATCAAACTCCAAGTTTAGTGCTTTGAGTTGCTTTCCACAGTTCCGAGCTTCCTCCATTCCTTCACTGTTAAGTTTCTGATCCACCCAGCTACAAAAACGATTCTCTTTGTTCCAGGCACCCTCTCCATGTCTTAACATAATCAGTTTGTACTTGGCCATACTGATGGCTGAGCTTCCCTAGCACTTTTCAAATGGACCAATATTCAATGACAACAATACATCTAGAAAGAGAAGAAACAGAAAGTATGTTATATTCTTCCTTCAACGGACTACCTGGGAAGGGAAGTACAAGTTTACAACAGTCAGTGTCTAAATGAAAATGGAGTCATTCCTTGGAACAGATTTGACATCAGGACGTCAGACGGCTTACACACTATGGCACATACAGGCATATTCAACAAATAATTAATTACAGGGAACCCAGTCAACTTTAATTTTCTGATGGCTAGACAGTATGTTAATTGCATGATGCAAAATAACAGAACAAATCATTCCTATGGCATGCTGCATTTCCGCCAGATAAAAAGGCAGTCCATGCCCATAGAGGCCAGGGTTTAATAGAATGAGTTATAGATGTCTAAAAAGATGACTAGAGCTGGGAATTCCCAGCTCCTAGCAGCTGACTCCAGGTTGAAGACATCCTCCTCACTTTGTTTTCCCTCTGGTGAAAAAAGAAATATTTACCAGTCTCACTTCATTATAGAAGTTATGGAACCATCATATTTATCCAGCATGTCAGTCACTAACCGGTGGCAACTAGCTCTTCAATGCGCTGGGCTGCACTACGTATAAGAAAACCCAGTGTTCAACATTCCAACACCACCAAAAGTGATTGAAAGCAACACGAACACCCAATACGGTACTCCCCAAAATAATCTCGCCTGCCTCAAGACAGAGCTTTCAGCAGGCATAAATCCAAATGCAAAACAAGCTATCAAATGCTAGCAGCTAAGAGATGCAGGTCGTAGGAGTGAGAGGAAGCACACTGATAAGGAGGCCTGCTCTCCTCCTCCCCAATCCTTAAACTGTCCTATGCACACCAGCCACATCTCAGCACAAGACGAATCTGGGAAAGTGGCACAGACAATCTTAGGGTGTTTCTGAATTCCCAAAGTTAAGAGGCTGGCCCAAAGGTCTGCTGGGCTCACTCTGCACCCTGTAGAACCTGCGGCTCTGGTTGCCTTAGCCTGTCTTCACTCTCCTTGCAGCGGACACACGTAACGCTGACAAATGGGGCTCACTTCACTTGCCCAGTGCTCTCCATTTCCACCCCAGGGTTTTCCACACTGGGGAGTAAAAATGCTATGAACACTAGGGCCTGCTCTTCCGCCATTCTTGATGGGTCCTATTAACTGGAGATTTTTCTGTCCCACTTAACCTATGATTCACCCAGTTACATAACAGTCAGTGACAAAGGTAACTGAAATCTGGGTAGCTGGTTTCTTCTTTAGTAATTCCTAGAGGTTCTGAAGGGGAAAAAGCCCTTCAAATAAGGCTACATCTTAGTTCAGGAGAAGGCTAACTGAGGAACACCCGAGAGAGGAAGTGGATGGAGAGGTAAGCTGCAAGTACTTGAAAGACGAGGGTAGTTGGGTTTAGGGCCTCCCTTTCTTGTCAAACATTAGCTCTGAAGCTTTCCTGCGTGAGAAGTGGGAAGCATCTGGAAGAGACTGGGCTCAGGCAAAAGCACTTCACAGAGCTGAGAAATTCTGGAGGGAGAGAGAGGCCTCTCCCCACCCTCAGCCCAGAGGGGCCTCAGGGTGGCAAAAGAACAGAGAATGGGATGAAAGACATCTGAGCAGTGTTTTTCTGTATGATTCCTGGTGCCCACAGGCAGAATAATCATGAAGCTCGAGCTTCAAGTTCCTTCACTTGAACACACTCCTTCTAAGGCACTGGGAGAAATCAAATAAGGAATGCACACGTGTGTGTGTGTGCACATATGTGTGCACGTGTGTGTCTGTTTAATTTGCAAAAGAAAGACATTTTTGTATTGTTTTTTTTAAAAAAGAGCCTCAATTCACCAAATAGTAGAAGCTTCGGATCAATCAAAAACTAGATCCACCCCCTTGTAACATTTATTGTTTTGTTGCTGAAAAGAGAAGCCACCTCAACCCTTACTTTGTCTTGCCAAGCAAGAAGCCTCCTTATGCTTAATGAAGCCATTTTCCCTTCAAATGAAAAAGAGTATGACGGACAAATTCTGTAGGCAGAAGCACTCCTCCAGAACATGAGAGGCTCCTAGCTCTGGGAAACGAACAAGGGGCAGAGGAAGGGGAGGTGGGTGCAGGGATGGGGTGACTGGGTGACAGGCGCTGAAGGGGGGCACTTGGCGGGGTGAGCACTGGGTGTTATGCTATATGTTGGCAAATCGAACTCCAATAAAAAATATACAGGAAAAAAAAAAGAGCACTCCTCCATGGTCTTTGAGTATGAACTCTACCGAGAGCAAAATACAGAAATAACATCACGAACACCCAAGCACTTACTACCAAGCTTAGTATTATTTTAATCTGCTATATTTGCTTTGTTTAAGAAATAAAAGTTTCTCTGTTTTCAGCCACCACCACCCCCTCTCCAAATACATATACTGGATCAGAGAAACAGTGCTGTAGCCACAGAGGCTACACAGATACACGCTCTTCCCTCACTCTGGCATACAGGGTTGAATATAGGATAAGGTACCCGACCAGTGCATCTATCTTGGGTAAACAAAGTTACTTCCTTCTCTCCTCCTTGCTGCTATCAACTGACTTCCTATTTAATTAACTGCTGACTATTTACACAGGAGATGTTGAGGTTTAGAGTTTTCAATCTTTAAGATTTTAATCATCATGGGACCTGGTATACCAAGTGTTTACCAACAAACACTCAAGGCAGTACAGTCTCATTTAAGGTTTAAGGCAAGGGCTGCAAACTCACATGTCCCAGTGGATCAGAAAGAGGTGAAGAGCAGTGATGCTGGGTCACAGGGGTGATGGGAACCGTGGACAACTGTAGGGAACACATGTGCTTCTCTGATGGATGCAACTCCCATGTAAATGGACAGAGCTTTTGTATAACCTGGTCTCATTCAAGTAAGGGTCCCATTCTCAGACCCTTTCTGGAGGACAAACAGAAGATGGGACCTCTCAAAGCAAACATGGGAGAGAATGCAAGCCTTCGAGTCAGACCACAGAGGACCTATGAACTTGGTTTTGTCTTTAGGGGAAATAAAATGTCTTCTTTAAAAAAAAAAAAAAAAAAAAAAAAAACCCTAAAAATGGTCATTTCAGCTCCTCAAAGTTCATATAAAACTAAAAGGGGTAGTGACTACTGAGCTCCCCTGTTTCTCTGTGAGGCTCTGAGGAACTGGGGTTTCCGGATCTTCCAATTTTTAAAAACACCAGATATGTACATTTTTTATGTGAAATCTGGTATTAATACTGGTAACTAATTTAAATACATGTTTTAAATGTGAGCTAAACGAAATATGTCTGGAGGCTAGATTGAGTCTGCTAACCTAGAAATTGTGACTTACAAAGAAATCTCCAGGCTACAGATGAGAGAAGAGGCCAGCAGACCCCAGGTGATGGTCAGACCCTCTAACCTCCACATGTGCTGGGCTCCTTGTCCCTGAACCTCCTTCATGAAACCCTTGGCCAGTAGCCTGCAGAGCCCTGTAATCAAACTTCCATTCAACTTTGGACTGTTCCCGGAATACTTCCGCAAGCTCTGAGCTTTAACCAAGCTGAAAATGAACTGAAAGCAAAACTACCTCTTCCAGGTAACTGCTTCCTCCTTTCATCAGGGGTCCGTGCCTCTGATCCTGGGACACAGGCAGTGTTGGGCAGGCTCCTGCTACCTCCCAGTCCTAACCAAATGCCTTCCACCTCCACCATCTTCTGGGAACAGGAGAAGCCTGGATTCTGAGAATCTGGCTATATTCATATGTAGCTCTTGTGCCCTCGCTTATTAGTGGCAAACAGCCTGAAAAGTGAGCACCCTATTTAAAATCCTTAATCACTTCCTGTTGGTCTTAGGATAGAGTTAAAAATCCTTAACATGACCTGTAAGGCTTTGGTTTTCCTTTTTTTTCCTTGAGCATGCCATGTTCTTTCTTGCTTCAGGACCTCTGCACACACTGTACCTTACCCAGAACCCCGATACAGCATCCCCTTCCCTCCACTGCCACTTGAGTCCCACCCAGCTTTAGGTAACTGCTAGCCATCCTTTAGATCAACTGTATCCAACCAAAATATATGGGAAGCCACATATGTTATTCTAGATTTTTTAAAAGCCATATTAAAAAGGGGGAAATAAATAAATAAAATTAATTTTAATAATATATTTTATTAAGCTTTATAGATTCAAAATATTATTTTAACATATGACCCATATAGAATACTTAATAGGGTATTTCACATTCTTTTTTTCATTTAGCCTTTGAAACTTGATGTATATTTTAGACTTAAAGCACATCTTGGGACACCTCAGTGGCTCAACAGTTGAGCATCTGCCTTCAGCTCAGAGCATGATCTGAAGTCCCAGGATTGAGTCCTACATCGAACTCCCCGCAGGGAACCTGCTTTTCCCTCTGCCTGTGTCTCTCCCTCTCTCTCTCTCTCTCTCTCTCTCTCTCTCTCTCTCTCTGTGTGTCTCTCATGAATAAATAAATAAAATATTTTTAAAAAAAAAGTATATCTTGATTTGAACCAGCCTCATTTTAAAGCCTCAGGTGACCAGCGGCTACCATATTGATTGGAACACTCTTACAGCTTAGTTTAAAGGTTATTTCCTCTAGGCCAATGGTTCTCAAACTTGAACATACATCAGAATCACCAAGAGAAGTAGTTACAACAGGGTGCTGGGCCTCACTTTCAAGGCCTAACTTGAGTAACCTCTGGGGCAGGCCTGTGGATCTGAGAATCTGTATTTCTCTCAAACTCCCAGGTGATGCCGTGATACTGCTGGTTTGAGGTCTATGCTTTGAGAACCTTGGCTCTAGGCCGACCTCTCTGCCCTTCTTCTCACCCACTGGGAAGTGGTCAGTCCTGCTTGGTATATACTCTTAAAGCATCTTGCTCTACAACATTGGGTACAGTTGTGATGGATCACTTGTGATGGATTACCTGTTCAGCATCCATGTGCCCTGTTAGACTGTAAGCTGCACCACCGCAGGCCTTACTCACCCCTGTATCTCAAGAACCCAGCAAGACATTTGACACACACTGGGCACTTA